CGGGAACCACATCGCTCACTGAGGCAGGAACATCCAACTGACGAGTTCCAGATAGGAGGAAGAGTGCGTCCTGGATTCCAGCGCTAGCCACCATCCATCATTAACATTAAGCGGTATCTTAATACACTCCATATAATGTATGTTAATATTTGTTATAGAGATTATTTACTTATTTATTCAGGTTGTAGGCAGCTGACGAAAATCATGTGAAATAAAATGATGTTATCTTGTCCTGCAAATGATTTTCTCACTGAGTTATTCAAATACTTCCATAAGTTATTTGATCTAATCGTGATTTAAAATCAAACTTCATATTCTATATTTTACTATCTGATCACTATAAGAGTGGTGTTTAAACAGACAATACGTTTGTTGAACTGTTGTAATATATTCTGTAGCCAATAAACGTTCCTAAAAGTACAGGCTTCATGGTGTAAAATTTCTTCTTTATTTATATGACCAACTCAGCTTTTTTTATGAGCCTTCATACTTAAATCAGCATCTTTGATAAGCTGATAGTCACCCAACCTAGAGTTAGACTCACGGGTCAACTGTAGTTTTCATATTCGTATTCCCTTATTTGAAATGGAAAGATGGAGCGCTCTCAAAAAAGTAAGCTTTGATGCTAACTGTTTCATGAACTTCAATGTTGCTTGTAACTATCAGTATTCCCCATTATTATTATTATTATTATTATTATTATTATTATTATTATTATTATTATTATTATTATTATTATTATTATTATTATTATCATTATTTGTCCCTTGGGTTCCTAGTGGAACATAGGGCTTCAGTAGCACGTAGTATTCCCTATAAATAACTATTTTTAGACACTGAATGACGCGCGCGAAGTCAAGAAGAAATAATTCAAAGAATAAAATTTTGTAATTCAACGATAACATCAGAAAAAGTCGTTCAGTTGAATTTATATTTATTACAGACTTATAACACTTTGTTACTAGGTGATAGGACATATTTTCATCATTAAAGTAGCATCCAAGAAGAGAATGAGAAGAGGTTTCTCGAGACGGAAAGCAGTTTTATAAGACGATTTAGGTAATGAGAAATGTAAGGAAGTTGACAGTATGAAAATTGTACATACATGAAAAAAGATAGACCCTAATGATGATGACAGTATTAGACTGATTATTGATGATGAAATTAGAAAAGTGAGAAGAATTACGATCACAGAAAAACGAGACTGAAGTTACCTCTCTTGCAAAATTTTCGAAAACACACTCCTGAACACTTCTCATTAAATTTGCAGATAGCATTGAAAGAGGACTCTTCCATGTGGCCAGGAACCCCACTGGTAGTTAATTTACATTCTTTCCCTCACAACCAATCAGTTTAATATTCAGGGATGGTTTGGAAAGTGAAAAATTTGTGAAACCTATACAACTATCTCCACGAGAAAAAGTAAACTTGTGAACACATACATAAGTGGCCTGAAGAGACACCTTGCCTTTAACACATCCTAGAATGACGTACCCATTAGAGCAGGCGATCTATAATTTAACAAAGAGTGTCCTGAGCGACTTGAAAAGCCGAATTTTCAGGATTTCTGTTGAAATAAATAACGTTTTCATTGGGCTCGCGTGCATCTGGTTAGTCTAGTCGGTTTCGCATTAAATATAAATGAATATTTCCCATTATGCATGAAGTCAGACTGATTCATAATCAGTTGCATCATTTGTAAGATTTTTTATGTCTCTTAACAATCACGAATGAATAAGATTTCTCTTTCTACCCAACAATGCCAAGCTATAAAAATTTGCTTTGTTCATTCTATATTGGCTTTCGCTGAAACGATGCTTGTAGAAAGCTGTTTTCTTTCTTAAGGATTCTAATCAAAAGTGGGTTGAATGATTATACTCTCTAAGCTAATCAACTATCGCCTCAGCATTAATATTTTCATAACACATGAAGAATGCATTATCTACGTCAACTGCCGAGTACAATTCACCATTTACCGGGGTGCAGGTAAATCCAGCTGAAAAATCCTAAAAGGAACGAAACACATGTCCTGGATTCCACTACTGGCCACTATCCATCGCTACTATTGAAAGAAGCAAAAGACAGATATACAGGAAGGAATTTTTATTGTCAACAAGTGGGGCAGTAGTCGTTAAATAGATACACCTTGCACTGAAACCGTCACCTTCAAAATATGCTTCATTTACTCTTCTGCTTCTTTCTTGATTTGCTCTTCATACACCTGCCTTGTCTCTTGCATTTCTCTTGGCGGGATCTCTACCCATTGTTGGTAATTCCCTATGATTTCTGCCACCCTCTCAACATGTACTACTTATATCCATTCTTATCAGCAACGCCCACTACACTATTACTTGCGGATACTCAGAATAACTGGTGCAGACTGGTTAGTGAGAAAAGTTTCTTACAAACGAGACTTTAGGTACAGTAGTACATTTATTCGCCAAATGCATGGATACTTTTATTGGTGAAACATAGCATGCATGCAAATGTTGCGTACGTACACATCACACACTAGTCAAATCGAAGACTTGACTTGGCCCAAAATGAACATGACTCCTTAAGTGACATTTAAGTGCAGAGTTTTTGAAGTTGAGTAGAATTCTAGTGGGAAAGAAAGGCATTCGTAACATGTCTGGAAAGTTTTCAGTTGGTAATCTTGACTGTTTAATGGTAACACTTTTTTGAAGAGCAATTATAGATAATCCTTGGATTTTAAGGCGCAGACCGACTTTCTGAAAACCAAGTACCAACCAGTAAAAAAGCAGATAAATTTATTTCGTTAACCTTTGACAATTATTTTAAAAACTGCATGACCGTCACCATGATGACTATATCTTAAAAAGTAGCAATTAAATTAAGAAATCTACGTTTATTTGACTAGGATTTAATAAATCAGATGGGTTAAGAAGCATTTACGTATCTATAGACAATTTACACCAGCAAGACATCAGGCGTTTGTGACTCACTTTTTAATTCTCAGTCGCTTCGATTATTAGGCAAATATATCCTAATGAGTATTTGTACTACTCCTCCGTGTGTTTACACACGCAGAATTCTTTTTTCCCGAACTAGATTAACTAGTGCTAACTGTCTTCATCAAATTCAGTCTATGATTAGTAATAGTTTGGAAGCTACTTTTGGGACATACTAGACAGATTTTCATATTAGATCTAGGCATAGATCATGATTTTAACCTTCAAAATATTGCTTACAAAATGCATAATAATATCTTTAACTAACCACTTGAGATTTTCTTAAAACAAATATATTCTTCATATTTCCGAATAAGGTGAGGTTTAGAAGTATAGGAAGCCTTTTGGAGGTACACAATAAAACCAATGGTGAGAGTGATAGGACTGAGAAATTCCAACTGTCGGTATGATCAGTGACATTAATTTTGTTCGGAATAAAATTTTCTCGGCAAGTAAACTTGTCATGGAGAATTTATTTATAATACATTAATTTACCACACAAGCTCGGCATTGGTGTGTTTAGGTTTCATCTAGTTTCGCTACTCTAGTCTCGGACTCTGAATTTTATGAATATCCTTACTTATTGTCTACTATTAATTGGGTAGGAGCGACTGGCCAGAATTCTAATGAATAAAAAGAGCATAACCTCAGTTGAATTAATGCATGAGTACTGCAGAACAGCTCGACCTCAAACAAGCGAGTTACCTAGCTTTAAGACTTTCTTTATCGTGGTCATAGATGTTACTGACTACACTGAATAGATCGCGATTATTTTGTTTGAGTAAACGCAGGAAACATATTCAATAGATGAATATACCAACTCGCTGAAAACTTGTGAATTCGTTAGTATTTTTGAGACTTGTCATTTGGGGCAAATTAAGCTTCTCATCTGGGTTTGGTTGATTAAAAAGGCACTCACAAGCACAGATTTTCAAATTGTCGCTGAAACCAACATAACTGAAAACAATTTAAATCAGTGTAAGGACTTATATAGCCGGAAAACTTTTACTAATGACGACACTTGGTGTGGAGATTCGAAAGAGACATTTTGAGCGAGTTACAAACTGTTGACTACCTAAGGAAATAAGGATGAAACTACAGGATACTCACAGCAATTTTTCCCAAGCGTCTTTACCATCAGTAGTTGTCTGACAGCTCCACTTATCATTCAACTCAATGTGTCAAATTATCAGACATTTCCGGTAGATACGCGTCACTAATTCTACTACTTATTCGAACACGATAAAATGTGTTAAATAACCTATGAAACCATGTTTGATAAAAGATATTTCAGTTACCTGTATATCTTGGTTTCATACAAAAGAACTATTTCACATTATTATTACCAACTTCCCTATCGCATTTCTACTTTAGAGCCTGCACCAACAAATATAGAAGTACTAAAAACAGCCTTTAACTAGTAATGGATACTTCATCACCTAGTTCCAAGGATCACTCCAACCTGTCAACCAAACTTGGATTGTAATCATCAAACCAAGACGGCCATTATCGCACTGTACTTTGTTGGGTGGGGGGTGGTCGACGCAAAGACGAGCAAATGGAAATTACACACTGATTGAAAACACTCGTGTACATAGCTTAGCAAGTTGCTAAACAGACTAGAAAGAGGAAATGCTACCGAAAAAACCAACCCACACGAATGATCAAAAAGCTAGAAAGTACTTTAGTCGGTAGTCTCGGTAAGAGAATATCGTCTTTCCTAATCCTTTCGCAAGAAAGAACTTTAAGGAAAATATCAACGCAACCACTTGCTTTTTCACTACTGTCAAACTTCATTTATAACCTGCCACCCTTACTTCTATTTCAAAATTAGCTAAGTCGCCACTAGATCTGTCTTCTATGCTGTTTTGTCGAAAAGCCTGCTTAAAATCATGAAAAGATAATCAGAAACAAAATTCTTTGCTTCCGAAATATTTTAGAGGGGATTTTCAAGGAGTACAATGATCTTTTTCACGTAACGTCAACCTACTCTCCTACGGGAAATATAAACAAAACAGGAATTATTTTGGAATATGTATTTTCTAGATCATCAACATTTTTGAACTGTAGGACCGCTGATAAAGAAAAACTAGTCACACACGTGCCACTGCGTGCACAGCCATGTAATTCTATTTTTCATACTGCGATCATCAAACCAGTAAGAGAAATGCAATATCATACAACAATAAATAAAGCCATAATGCAATGCCTAGTCAACCACAAGAATGAAGTGAAGCAGTAAATCGAGTTTAATTCAGATAAGGTTCAATAAGTAGGTTGAGCGTATGCCGCTGCCATTCCGCGAGACGCTCCACCACGACCGGGATGGGCACCAAAATTACCACCACGCTGTCCAGTATTGCGCCTTTGACCACCTAGTGAAAAGAAAAAGGAAATCATATAGTGTATACTTGCATGTACGTTCATAACTATGCACGTTTGAATTGCATCAATGGTTCATAAATTTGAAATCCAAGTTAGATCAAACGACAAGTTGAGTTTTAATCATTAAGCGTTCGTCCAGCTAGTAGGGAGCAGTTTCGTAATCTAGCACCTGACACTGTCGCTGGGTTAGAAGCGTGAAACACTACTTAGAAAGGTTTAGATAGCCAGGGAGTATACTCCCTAATATAACGGACAACTCAAAACCTACGGCTTACCATTTTAATGCAGTGAGTTGTATACAGCCGTGTAACAAAGATTATGCTGAGGGAAAATTTACTTGTTCTCTTTTTTTACTATCCTCATGAACTTAGCTAAATTATTCCCATCTATTCTTTGCTTACTTTGGTTGTTTTGTCTGTAACATCTCGTTTTTATCATGTTTAAGATTGGACCGATGTCGCTGATGATTTCTGCTTTTTCTACATTTAACTAAATTATACAAATCATAAGGAAATTAAAAAGTGAAGTTAGAAACGTACTGCCACGACCTCCTCGGTTTTCACTTGCAATGCGACCACGGAAACTAACTTTTGAGTTCCCACGGGGAAAATTTTGATCCGGCTGCTCCAGTTCACGAATATTGTCCTCGAATACACGATCAATTCTTTTGTTGTGAAATACATTATCCATGCCTGCCTGTCGATGAAGGCCAGGGTTGGTGTATCCAATTTTCCTAACCGAATCTGCATACGAAATGGGTTTGGTACCATTATCGTTTATATCTGCATCATCTTGTCGTACGATATTCGCTTTTAAAGGAGACAGCTGTCTGACCACATCCCCTGATGGCAATGATGGACTGCGTTCACAAAACTCGTTCTTTGGTGGCTCCGTTTCAGGAACTTCTAGTACATACTGCTGTTCTAATCTGTTAATCAGTGGATGGTCAGTGTTATCCTCTTCGAGGTTGTGGTTATTGAAGCATGAAACACTTTTGTTTGGCACTTGATTGACAGGCATCATTTCAACGAAACCAGTCGGATGCTCAACCGGAATTTGTGGGTGAACAACCTTGGAAGCCTCGAGAAGAAAAGAGGATGATTATATATATATATATATATATATATATATATATATATATATATATATATATATATATGTTAGTCCAATAAGAATTTTTTACATAGCGACTCTAAGCAATAGATTTGCTTCCGAAAACACAAGTAATATGAACACAGGTTTTAACACTGCTGCTTACCTTCTGAATTTGTCTTTCTTGAAGCACAGGAAAACAATAATTTACTTCCAGCTATGAGTTACTTCTATCTCGACTGCAGATTAACCTTGTCAGTAACCTTCCATACCACAAACGGAAGAGTGGGAATATCGATAAGCTCACCAAGGAATGGTTGGTTAGACAAGTATCGTAAATTTACAATAGACATTTGACTGCTAAGTACATATATCCGTACAAGATTTCAGAGTAGTGAAGTTGCTCTATATACTTATCATGGAGTGATTTCTTTGAACAACATGGTAGACTTAAGCAGCTTCAAAACCCGGTTATTAAAAACTTGATTTCCATATGCCCGATTAGATTTTCAGTTTTTACCTATGGCTTAGGCACCTTTTATGAAATGTACTTTCTACGTAATGATGTAAAGCAAAGCCATAAAGTGTGTTTGACTCACGTTTCTAAACAAGGTAGGCCAATTATCACGGGATTCACTTTTCCAAAGATGAAGTGTCAGTGATTTACTTTGGCTGATCAAGACCGGGCGCTGAAATCGAAGCAGTTATAGTTCACTTCTGACAAGAGCAACCACGTTGCTGATCACATTTGAGGTGAGATGATGTACCACCCATTTCATGAAAATTCTCAATCCCCAGCCATAGTTGAGTGTCATTTTTTGAGTACTTGAATTTCAGCAGTGCACTTTTGGACCACGCCGTATCCGCATTGCTGAACACAAATGGTTAGATGTCTGCTATGCTTGATTTGAGAGTAAGTATTATTCATAACAACAGCAATTCCTACTTTTATGTAGACTGGTTTCATACATAGTCTGCTTTGGAATATTTGAAAAGAGCGGTGATTACTCAGATTGTTGTCGACAAGGACTGATGACTAGCAGTCTCAGAGAGTGAGTTATTGAATCGCAAAGTAGAACACCGAAAAATAGTCCAAACGTCTTACAGTAACCTCTCAGTTGTTTATCCAGTAAAAGATGAGTAAGACATAGAGGTTGATCTTTCACATTTGCTGAAGTTGAGAAAGCTGTCCCAATCATGTGAAAAAACAAAACAGTACGTCTGGACACTCAGTACTCACAAACCTTCATGGATGGCAGTCAGGATTTACCTATTACAGTGACATATTGTCAGGGATGTTGGATTAATATTATATAAATGTCTAGATGCAGAAGATGGATTTAGTGATTTCACTGTTGAAATTTATTAAATGACTTGTAGTGGACACTTACGGCTTACTGTATGCAATTTCAAATTTAATGCGTAAGTAGATTTTAAGCACACGAAATGAATTCGATTCATCCCACAATGTTTGCTTCGTAAGAATTTATAAAGGCAACTAATTGTATGAAAAAGATGGTTGGGAAGACTATGCGGGTTCGTGAACCAGACATTAAGTCGTGCTTGCTGTGTTGAAGTTAACGATACTACCTGGCTTTCTGAACCTAAGTGAGTAACGCAATGACCCACAAGTAACGTTAACGAGTCACAGCGTCATGTTCTAGAATCAGCCAAAAGAGAAATGCCTGACATGTTCCAAAACTGAATGAGTACACTGATCACATTATATCTTTCCTGGTTTTGTAAATCAAACAAATATCGGCGTCTAACACTCGCAATATCAACTAACTTGATACTCAACATTACCAATTAGTGGAGATTACAGTGGTATGACTTATTAAGAGTAATTAATATGTCATTCATCCTACGAATTTCTTTACAAAGATATATGAGGGTTTAGACTGACGACAATTGGTAGTTGTCACAAAAGAATCCAACTGCCATTTTCATTTAAGTCTGTTGAAAAAATATATTGGTTGTGATAGTGCTTGCGTATGAGTGCAGAGATCGGCCTTCAGTTGATCCCTTTGTAAACAAACATAACCCTGCAAGACAAAATTCTTGACAAAACCTCCTGCGAAAAACTTTTCCTGGATTCATTTTGCATGCCACATGTATGACAATGCCAGAATGAGCAAGGATAGGACAGATGTATATCAACTACACTACTTGAACGAGGTCTTCCTGTCTAAATGCTCCAACTGTAAGTGATATCCTAGCATAGATAAAGAGAACATACATTGGTATGGATATTTTAATTATCAACAGTGAATCAGTATGTATCGTATTACCTAACTGTCTCATTTGGTACAAGTACACAAGCCTGTCGACTGACTCATCTGTTAACGTTACCAGGATCGAGATAGGACCACGCAATACTACGTGACGGTTCAAGTTGCCACGCCATATCAACATATGAAGTAATAAAACACTAAGAGCAATGAAGAATTAGTCGAGTAGTGGAAAGTGGGAAAGAGAGGAAATGGGAGTAAAATACTGGGTTCACTACGATGATCAGGATGAAGAAACTGCGTGGATGCCTCTGTGCCTTTGATATTGATTGAGTCATGTCGCCCTGAGTATCCAACCACTGGTTTCTGCTGACACCCGGAACCCAACCGAGAAGTCTAAACTTCCCTACACGGTTCAGACCAATCGTCAAAGACTCCATACAACAATGCCACGTTTCAGTTTGGTCACCGCGAACCGTTTTCTAGTCTGCACTACTTCAACTAACATTGCGCGACGCAGACGGTGACTAGGCATGTGCATTACATGTTTGTCACCTGAATTCGTTAAGGTTCACTTCATCAACTGACTTTCTTCACCTCCCCGACGAAGCCATGACATACGGCCTATGCAACAACCAGTGTCGCGCGTCGGTGCCAGTGTTCCAGAACCCGGTGGAGGGTGAATATCTGGTTGATACACCCAAAGCCAGTTATAAAATGTCTGGTTTTCTCGGATATGTTGTTCCCAAGCTCCGTCTGAATATTATAGAGCCTACGACTTTAGACACTTCGTCCGGCTGATTCTCCTTGGAATGTCACAAGAGGACTTATCACCTTTCCTAAAGACTTGGACTCTCATACACCAGTCAACAAAAGTTAAATACATCTGGTACTATACCGTCTGGCACTACTGCCTTTTTTCGTTTCAGATAAACACAAAATCAACGTAGAACCTCATATAAAGTACATTGGTTTAATTTGCCACATTTCACAGGAGTATACAAACAGGTGAAAAAAACTGATACAAAAGTTTGTATGAGAATCAACAATTTGAAGACAAAAGTCAGTGCGAATATTTAAGCTTTAGAAGACGTCAAAGAATGAATATACTTGACCTATTGTGACCCCTTTTCGGCCATGTCACCAAGAGTCCTAAACCACCGACTCCTCTGTCTTGGTAACCCTAACCAGGTGGTCTACATCTTCATACATGGCTCAGACCAATAGTCAGGGACTTCGTCGACTGCTGTCACAATTTTTTTGAAGGCATCAACAGCCTTTTCCACTCTTGTGTTGGGAGTCGTACAGCGATAATCAATCTGTTCTAAAATGATAAGCTTTACAACCTTGCTGTGTGTTTCACTACACCAAACCTGAATCATCCTAAACGAACACAAGATCCTGATATGAGCTCCGTGCAACAGACGGTCTATATGAAAAAAGCTGGGTGACTTTTGTATGACATTAACCTTTTGGTTAGCGAACGAACATACCAGCAGTGTCAAAAGATGTAGGTTGGTGGGCAGTGAATAACCCTTATGTATCTATGTCTGGATATTGATTAAACTCAGTCCATCGATGTCCATGTAGTTTCATTTGTAGTGCTCAAAACTATCAATCATCTCGCCTTATCTTTGAGATACCTGTTCAAACCAGTCTTTTATCTGATAATCGACCACTGTACATTTAAATAATCCAGTTCGGCTTGCTATCATTGGAATTCACGGGTAACATACCTAGGTTTGTGCCCCACTACATTTGCATCAACCTAACGGACGAAATTAGATGACCAGAGTTTTGCATTGAGATCACTGTTAAGTGGGATTATTAACGTGTTCATGAGCAGTGCAGTCAACTATGTGGATCAATGTAAACTGCAGATCGCATTCAGTACATCGATATCGACATGGGATCTGATATCACCCCGTACCTGTACACTCTGCCACACTTCGCGTCAGCATATAATGAGGATGCACCGAGAGGCAACACGTGAAATAATCAGTAACGGCAAGTCACCAGAAGACAGGAAGGGATAATATAAAATAGAGAAATATGATGCCACGGTTGGGATGGAGAAAATGTATGAATGCTTATGCACCACTGATTTTCAACCGTATCGTCTAGTCTCCAACCATGCATCTAGGTTTACACGTCGACACCAACCAGGGAGTCCACATTACTCAACGCAGCTCGATTCGAGACTTTGGTTGCCTTTAACATTTACTCAAACCTAAATCTCCGGTTAACTCACAAGCAGGTGACTAGGCATGCGCAGCACATGCCCTAACAAACAGTTGAATTTTCCAACCGCATCGACTGACTCACTTCAACTCGTTTGAAACTACGCCTGAATTATACATTGATGCTGTGATTCTGCGACACACCATCCTACGAAGGTACTGGTGGTCGAGTTTGAAGGTTCCTCGTGGTTCACTACAAACCTGCTCAACAGCCTTGAGCACCAGATCGAACACCTGGATACCACAGCTAGTTGCAGAAAAACAAGTGAGCCTGTTATATCTGTGCGGAGATTATCGGTCAGTGATGCATTAGAACTCATCCAACTCCCCAAATAATTGAAGCGGTTAACGTGCTCAACCACTTTAATCTCGATCAACAGATGAAAAACTAATACTGATCAGTTGCCGAGAAATGAACTGCATTCTGGCAATGAGAAATGAATTCCACTCGCACATAAACTGGTGTAGAAGACATCTTATCAGCATTTTCACCGAACACGGCTACATTACTCTAGGTTCGCTGAGACTCCTGTGACTGGACCAATCCTTGTAAAGTAAGAAAAGGGATGAAATGCCACTATAGTACGTCAGACGAAAATAGAAAGTGAACATTCGTGGTCGGTAACACTTTTAACACTGACATCCTGTGACTAGGTCTGGCCCAAAATTAACTTGCCAACTATCCAACATGCGTATGTAAAAACACCTGCTCGCGTATTACTGCTGGGTTGAGACTCCATCGACAGAATTAAACTGCTATGGCGCTTATTCCAGCTGATACGACTGCATTCGTATACTGAACAGAAATGCAACCCAACACACGAAAACCTTCTGAAAGTTACTTGCGATCTTAACTGTATATTCTGCAGCAGAAAGTCAGTACAGAGTAACCATTTCTAGTAACCGTTACCTATCAGTTAACCATTTATGAAGGAAGTAAAACGTGCACCGTTCAGAAGTGCAACACAAAATTGCAATTGCTAAATACTAACACTATAGAAACGTTCCAGGTAGATTAGCGCAATATTACCTATTTTCCTATAGTATGCTCATTAAGTCACCCACGTTAAGAGGTGTTAACTTTACAAAAGACAAATGTTATCAAATACGTTCCTTAAATATATGCATGGTTTGCCGCTTACCTGGATAAAATTAAAAGTACTACTGAGGGGTCTTAAGACTTGGTCAACTGGTTCAGCGGTCGGAGAAGTGTGACTAAGGTCAGCGACTGATCTGTAATCATGTTGCGGGATAGGTATTTCAACAGGCTCTGGGAATTCAGAACAGGGAGTGGTTTCCTCAACAGCGGCTGATGATTTTTGCTCCGCCATGCCTACTGTCTCACACTCCTCAATGAGGCCCATAGACTGCTGAACAACAGAATTCGCCAGTAACCGGAAGCATAAGTTCCGAACATCCTTGAAAGTGGTACGCTTCTTCCCAAAGTCATCCATGTCATTTGGTAACAGAATAGGTACCGGACGCCCAACTGTGAAATCATAAGTATTTGCGGCTACAGCCTTAAGATCCTCTCGCGTCTGGAGGAAATTCGGAGTAGATGTCAAAGCAGCAGAACTGGCTCCAGGCCAATTACCTACTACTGGTGGCGTCAGGAGACCACGCACTGCATCAAGTAGCTTCAGACTGTTTTCTGATGAAGACTTCGCCACGGCTGCACGAACTGTTGGAATATCCAAAGAGGAAAGGAAGCGCTGCAGACATATGTGCATACTCAAGTAGGATAGTGTATGCTTCTCATGTTCAACTTCAAGTTGGGACATCTGTTTGTCAATCAACGTCTCCATGTTTGATAAAAGATCCTTAGTTTGGGTCACAACTTCCTGGACAAACGAAATGTTTTGCACAACACCATCGTAACTTTCAACAGCTTTCCTTTGCTCATCTTTCAAAGACTCGCCCTTTTGAAGTTTTTCGCGATAGCCATCTAGTTTGCTCTACGAAAAGTCAGGAAAAAGTCAGACATACCTTCCGCTTGACAAGATTTCTATGCCTTCGTTCAAGATTTGACAAAAAATTCTTAACTAACTCATCTGGAGTCTCCGCCTCCTGCATGTCTGATACAGTCGACATTTCTTCTACAGTCACGATATGCGGTAGTAATTAAAACGCCACAATGATGTTACATGTACAATCTAGCAACTATGATTGATAAGACAAGCAAACATTTCCTTCTCACTGACCATTTCGGAAGTATATGATGACTCGTACTTATTTTCCATTGGTTTGCAAGTTTTAGCATTACCTCAAGAAAAATCCGAATGTAATGCTTTGCTGAATTGTTCAAATGGTTTCGCTTAACTTGCTTCCGCATCTAGAATCTATGGCTCACTACTTCTTGTTGCTGTTAATCTGTGTATACCTAAATAGACAGCAAACAGAGGCGGTTAAAATATATAATTCAGTGAGTTCTGAGCAGGTCCCACCCACACCTCAAGCGTTTAAAGGATACAGGTGAAGTAACGTGGATCACTTCCAGAAGAAGAGCATCTTATGGTTTAAAATCTCTTCGAAAATGGAAGTTGTGCTTTGTATCTAACCTGCTACGTCCTAGGATTAGTTTCTATATGCGTCCTCTAAAATTGGCGCTACAAACAAATTCGGTAAGTGACGAAGTTGGTCTTCAGAGGTTTTCAGGATGACATGGGCCCCCTCTCGGTCTTCAGTATTCAAGGGGATACATGCCAAGCACAACCGGTCATCCTTCATGTTCCAGACCTAATTAATTCAACGGCTTTGGTCAAGCATCTCTGGACGCGTTCTAATTTATCTTTCTGCAGAAAGGGAGGGGAGACGACTGTGCCGTGCTCAAGGTGTGGCCTTATGAAGCCGCTGAGAATGAGATGGAGACATCTTCTATCGAATTGTTTAAAAAATAGTCAGTAGGTTACTGACTCCAGGTTCCCACGGAATACGTTTATGTCACTGCTGGCACAGAATTTTAGGTCTTGGGGGACCAAAACGCTCAAATCCTTTTCGGCCTGCAACGCTTAAAGTTCAACGACCTTAAAGCTATAGATGTGACATGCATCACGTTTTACCTGTGTAACCTTGCGTTTTCCAAGATTAAATATGGGTCCGCTATTAATTGTCCAGTTGTGAAGTTTAGTTAAGTCTCGCAGAGTAATGCTGTCTTACCGACCTCTGACTTCCTTCTAGTTTCACGTCACTACAATAAAAGAAAGATTTCAGAAGAAACGTGCTGAGGTGTGTCGTTTAGGCACACCAAAAAAGGAAGTGGTCTTAGAACTACGCCCTGGGGAAGCCAACCAGGACATTCTGTTTCTTCAGAAATGGAGAAACTCACTAGAACTCTAAATCAACGATCACGTGGGTGTGAGGACAACCAGCCAATGAGGGGTGGTCCAATCCTGATCAATTTTAATTTACTAAAGGGGTGACTGCGACAAACACTGTCAAACGCTCTGGCAGAGTTGACAGAAATGGTACCAACTCCACCCCAGCGGCCGACAATACCATACCATCTATCCACTGCGGCGGTAGGCAGGTTGGTAATGTTGGATTACCCCTTCCTAAATCCATGTTGTTGGACGCTTATCTTGAGTGACTGTTTCTTGTTTTGGCTGACAGAACCCTTACCACCACACTCGAGTTAGTTTTTCTGCCCATCCTCCATTCTGGATGGGAGGCTAACCCACCACCAACTGACCGTTCATCATTTTTGCCTCTAATAATGCTATTATTATTAATATCACCTGGATGCAGTGATTAATTCGCTCGAATATACTGTTCCGGTGGCGAACTTACTAAGACCCACATACTGCTGTTTGGAATAAAGCGATCACTATACCACTATTGCTACCATTGTCAAGAGGTTAATACCCATAAGGTCGTCTCTCAGTCCACCGCAAACTAAAGATTGCATTACTTCGGAGGACACGGATAAGAGGCATCTCCGATCTTTATCTCCAAGGGTCGCTTGTCTGACGTCTTTCAAAGACCGGTGTTATGTGGACCAACTTCCGAGGATTGGGCACTTTCCACTTTCTTGGAGAACCTTTGAACATCCTACTCAAAGGTTCAGCCAAGATCGATGCTTCTTTTCTCAGCGCCAAAGCATGGGTTTTTTCCGGTTTCAGAAAGGTACCGTTTGTGAGCAGCAACTGTATGCGCTGTACTACCTCAAGGCCCAAGTGAACCAGCGAGATTCCCACTTCACTGGTGAGATATCCTAATACTCCTAAAGAGATGATCGACGAAGGAAAGATTTGGAGATACTGATCATCTAAGAGTTCACCCATATCAGTGTGGCCTGTATTCAGCTTGATAGGCTCTATTAGTCGAGATACTCCCAACTTCCGGAACTCTGCAGCTTAGTGGAACAGATTTTTTTAAGCTAAAAACAAGTGAAACCTTGGAGAACAGCCGAAAAGTGTGTGTATCATAGCGTGGATTGTACCCCTAGTCTGATAACTCACTTAAAATAGTCATGTTAGTTAGCCTATTTCATCTTGGTAGCGTAGGAAGACTTGTGGCATACAAGAATGTTAATGATCAGCCGATAAAATCCACACTTCTGAACTTCATAGGGTAATGTAACTTCAGCAAAGCTTCTAAACTAACCACAGATCCATGACGTTTACCCACACTGTGTGTGAAGCCGTTGATGTGTGGAGGTTTAGAAACCACCTCATTAGCAGTTTGAAGCAGGCCTATGAATTTCTGACGTACACTGGTGCCAGAATATGTAAACCTTGTAGTTCTGAGATCAGCGAAGAACAATAAGTAGCGGACAACGTGCAGATGTTCATTGATGAACGTTCCCTCATCATTCTTACACAAAACAAACTAGGTGTGACAGCGGGAGTATTGGCTGCAAGCTTCATTTTTCTCCAGGCGATACACGCAACGATTGTACACAAGTCCCGGTATTTTTCTTGATGCGAAGACAATAATTCCACTTGTCTATCTTGTCACTTTGCGAATACCTATTCTGCTCCCGCGTTACTTCCTAATAACTTGAAATAAGTGTCTTCCAGTGAATGAGTAGGTGGAGATTGGAGCCACCTGCCTTTAAGAAATATGTAATTTGCACAGTAATTTATATCTGCCTTTAAAAATGATGTGTAAATGTTAACCATTATTACTTAATGAAAATTTACGGGGAAATCAGCCAGCGTTACTTCTTTGAGAACAAACCCGTTGAACTGCTTCCCCTCATCATGTGCATGACGCATTTGCATATCCGTTAAGCACGGTTTTCATTTCTCACTGAAACCTTTATGATACCCGTGAATGGACACAAAAATTCAACACCTAACTTAACTTGCACCATTTGTGTGTGGTGTAAAATGTCCCTTCTTCTAGCCTGAAGATCGCCACTACATAGGAGGAAAAAAAAGTAGTAAGCAACACCACCAAGCATTTTTCACCAGCAAATGTGAAAACTATATCTGCACCTGAGGATTTTGCAATAACCTTCATTATCATAATTATCTTTCCACCTCATGAGTATGTTTCTGGAAAAGGTCATTGATGTACCACCAATCTACAACCGCAGTGGGGCAAATGGACCAGCATCGCGAATATTTTCAGTAAAGAGAGAGAAATCATCAATATAAACAACAGATTCACCTCTCAAGGCAGTTTTATCTGACTTCAACACTGGGTGGAAAACAATGCACTAAACGTCAGTGCTGAAAATGCAAAGGCGATTCATGTGTGGTATGAAGCATCACACATTCAAATTAGATGACGTGGGCTGTAGGCATGTGGTCAGGTGGGTTTTTTATCATTTGACCCCGTCGACAAGGCAACTGGCAGTCAGATACAGGTTGTGTCCCCTAGACTTTGTGTATTGACGTGCGAAGCGGTGGACGTTTTCAAGTCTCAATCAGAAAGTGCGGAGAGTACTTAAATGTGGGGGTGCGTTGACACGATTCACAAAGATAAAAGCGCACGTGGGCGAGAAAGAAGCGCGAAGAGGAAACAGAGGTGGCTTAGCTGCCTGAAAAGTATAAAAAGTGGTGTGGATGATGGAAAAATGCCGAGGACAAAAAGAGATGAAACAGTCAGTCGGTAACGAATATTGCACTCAAAAAGTCCCCGTTCAATACTCTCAAAATAAAACTTGGGCTGCTCTGCATTGACCAAGCATTGCGACTTTGATTTGTGTTTAAAAATCCTCGCGAACTTTGGCGTGCACGTGATAGGTTACCGCAAGAGGTGGTAACTACTGTGCTTTCAAAGGAAGGGAAGCTATTGAGTACATAGTTGGAGTTCAGGGGATGTGTAGCGTGATGAGAAGGTATTCACTAGTTTCTATTCAACAGCATGGTCATACCCATCCCACAGACCTGCACTCAGAAAAGATTTTCGAGTGGTTGGCATTGGTCGCAAGGCATCCGAAGTCACTCTCCAAAACCAACTTTGTCGCCTAATATCATAGCATGCCCAAACGCGGCAACCGCTTTTGACTACCTTTCAAATAAGGGTAGTTTCCCAGAGTCCGGTCATCATATCTACTGTATCCTTTCCATCTTGTTGGGGTATTTCGATATCGTGCTTTATCTCCTGGCCCACCAATAATTCACATATGTTTCTAAATTGAGCCTCTACTCATGGGGCGCAAAACGACTTGAAACGGGCGGTGGTCATAAGGCACTCATTTCAGCATTATCATGCGGAGGTCGGTGAGAGGTCGTGGAACAGGATATGTTTGTAGTGAAATAACTGTCACGGCAACATGATTGTTGGGGTAGTAGCGACACTTTGTGTACATGGGGTGGGAAGTATGTGTTTTGTTTATCCTGGTTCAATGGGGAAGAAGTGTAATTTCTGGAGATCAGTTAGTTAGTAGAGACGTGAGGGTTACATCATAGCAGCTATAGACCTTCAAAGCACGTCACGTTTTCTAAGGCGCTATATATCCGTTTCAAGTGAATTTCTCAATTAACTTATGACCCAACTTATGCTCTTTAATTTCAGAACGACGCAGATACATCACTACTGCTACATCCTGTTTTTGTAGTAACAGTACGATCATATGTGAAGCCACTGTTCATAGATTGGTCGTCAGCAAGTAGGCAAATATCCTCAGACATGATGAGCTCATTAAGTAGTTGTTGAAATTGCAAGACAGGTCCGCA